TGTTTGCCTATATTTTCATTATTTAGAATGTTTTTTACTTCTTCATAGCCACCAAAGAATGTTATTGCAAATCACATTTAATCCTAGAAACATTTGAAGATGGACTGAATTCTGACATTTGTTTGCATTTACCATAGCCTATATTTTCACATTTATTTAGAATGCCTATATTTTCATTAAAGAATGTTTTTAAAGACTTCTTCAATAACGAATCCTAAAAAAGAATGTTATTGCAACACTAGGAATGAAACCCAGTAGATGGACAATTCTGACATTTGTTTGCATTTACCATAGCCACTCACTCTAGAAACATTTGAATATGGCTGAATTTGCCTATATTTTCATTATTTAGAATGTTTTATAAAGACTTCTTCAATAACGAATCCTACCAAAAAGAATGTTATTGCAACACTAGGAATGAAACCCAGTAGATGGACAATTCTGACATTTGTTTGCATTTACCATAGCCACTCACTCTAGAAACATTTGAATATGGCTGAATTTGCCTATATTTTCATTATTTAGAATGTTTTATAAAGACTTCTTCAATAACGAATCCTACCAAAAGAATGTTATTGCAACACTAGGAATGAAACCCAGTAGATGGACAATTCTGACATTTGTTTGCATTTACCATAGCCACTCACTCTAGAAACATTTGAATATGGCTGAATTTGCCTATATTTTCATTATTTAGAATGTTTTATAAAGACTTCTTCAATAACGAATCCTACCAAAAGAATGTTATTGCAACACTAGGAATGAAACCCAGTAGATGGACAATTCTGACATTTGTTTGCATTTACCATAGCCACTCACTCTAGAAACATTTGAATATGGCTGAATTTGCCTATATATTTTCATTATTTAGAAATGTTTTACCAAAAGAATGTTATTTCTTGAAACCCAGTAGATGGACAATTCTGACATTTGTTTGCATTTACCATACTCACTCTAGAAAAGAATGTTATTGCCTATATTTTCATTATTTAGAATGTTTTATAAAGACTTCTTCAATAACGAAGGAATGAAACCCAGTAGATGTAAACCGACCCTTTCATGTGTTTTATGCAATATGGAAATATGTTTCAAAAATGAAAAGTTGAAATATGTATAGAAATAACAGGCAGGGGGAATAATTATCTTTCCGGAGTTTCCTCCCTTGAATAATTTTTAATCGTGTTGAAAAAATTTGATAGTTCTTATATTCTCAATCAATACTAACGGATCACAATTGGTTAATACAGATTTTACCAAAAGATATTAAATGATAGACTTTATTGGTGAAATTTCTATGTGGTTCCTAATTTGCATTGTCTGCTGCAGATAGGTCTCAAACTTATTAAACTTTACTCAAGCTTTCATCGATTCACTTTTAACAGAAGCAATTAAAGAACTAAATAATGTCTAATACAGAATTGTCTTAAAAATTTTCTTTATTGAATATCAGAAATTCCTGGCATTTATAAGTTTAAACGTTTCTTTACATTCAATAGCATTATGATATATTTCTTTCTTTTTTTTTTTTAATTATTTTTATAATTATTATTATTAACTTAATATTTGCACTGAATTTGTCCATCTTTAGTGTTTCTGTTTTTCTATTTGTATGTTCTTTGTATGACAGTGTTAAAATTTCGATAATAACATCAAGGAAAATGATACACTTGTTTCTGCATACTTTGCATCAAGAAACTATTTAGGAACTAAACTTTAAGTGAATCTTGTTGGGTTTCAACCGTTCAACTTGAAGCTAGGCAGCCAAATGATTAAACCAGACATTTGCAAACTTTTTGAAATGCAATTCCTACTTTTGTTAAAAGAAATCTGTTGCAAACCTTCATCCCTGTTTAGTAAAAAGAAATTTGGGCCCTACTCTCCTGATTTCTTACTTGCAGGAATTTAAGAATAAAAATAAGAAACATTGTGTCCTTATCTTAATATAATGGAGTTTTTTTTTTAGGCAGGGTTATTAAATTTATAGATTTGTTTTAAATGTACAATCACATTTATTTTATTTTTTTTATTTTTATTTTTTTTTCAGGAAAAATTGAAATAACCAGCAAATAATTATCTTAAAGCTCATATATATATATATATATATATTTCTCATTTGCAGTTATGACATTTTCCAGCAACCTAAATTATTACAACATCCTCCACCTACCCCAACACAGACTTTTTTTTTTCTTTATTATAATAATCATTGTCATTTGTAAGAAGAATTGTCAAAGAAACTTCTGACATAAAATATTGTGTCCATTGTATAGAACCAGAGATTTTTGTTTAAAAAATAAGATTTCACTTTAAGCTATCACTGCTGTATTGATTATTATCTTATTAATATTATATAACTTTATGTAATTGTTGTAGCATACCTATAGATGATAATGGGTATGCCCCATTCCTATAAATACAGTAGTAAATACGATATGCATTGGTCTGGAATTCAGTTGACTACTTCTACACACCACTGGCAGTTTTTCTGTCCTAAATATCATTGTTCATTACCAACCATCGTTGTGATTATTCTATTCCGTAACCTTCCCTAGGTTACAACATTTTAGCAATGAGGATGAGCCAAGTTACAACGGTAATAATATATTGTAATTATATATCCGTTTATTATGACTGTTACCATTTAGTGCACATCGTATTTGTTAGAAAAAAGTTATTGCACTTTAATTTTTCTAATATTAACATCCCAGTGATAATGAAATTAAGCAATATTTGAAAAATTAAAGAAAACATGATTTTAATAAAATGTAGCACACCATCTTTAATTTATCCAAATAATAGTTAACAAGACAAACCATTACAATTTAGTATATAGTAATTAGTATATAGTATTTAATTTCTGAGATGAGTTATTGTCTATAGTTTGGTATTATTTTGAACTATTGTTCTCATCTTAGTCAATAGAGATGTTATTATAGATACAGTGTTTCAACCAAGTACCCTCTGGTCATCATCAGATGTCCATTGATTGGCTGATTTGGGATATCTCTTAATTGTGATATTTTGTTCCTGTGATGTCAGTTATTATTCATTCATATTGAATTGGCGCTTTACTACGAGGAGGCACGATGGAGTAATGGATAGTGGCTCCAATTGAGGAATCGGAGAGTAGAGTTCAAATTCCAGTCAAATCCATTACATTCACTTACATGCTAATACTCTTGGGAAAGGTATGAATCCATTTCTTCTGCCAGCTGTGAGTAAATAGCAGGACAGACCAGGTTCTATAGCCTTGGATAGCAATTGGTCTACTACAGAAAAAAATGGCAACATACTGTGGGAAAAAATCTGCCTGGACGACAGAAACACAATGTTTAACCAACTCTTTATCCACTATGCCACTGTCCCAAATTAGTGGTGTGTCTTTTGGAGCCTTTTATATTCAACTAGCAGTAGAGCCCGGCGTTGCAACAGTAAGAGATAGATCAAGTATCCACCATCATAAAGATTGAAAAATAAAATTGACAAAAATTATTGTTTAAGGTTGACGGACACGCATGTCTTTATTTTTTTTTTTTTTTTTTTTTTTTTTTTTATTTACAAATTAGTCAAACTCAAACAAAAACATTGTTTTCAATCGTTATGAGTCTCTACCGATTGAATAGAATTTTATTATAAACAATTGTCTTGTAAATGGAATTTTTAAAGCATTCTGAATGTAAAAATAAAGAAAAAAGTGTGCAAGACAATAAGAAATGCTACATGCCAAAAAAAAAATGTGAAGTTTTGTTGAAATCAGTTGAAAAATGTAGGTAGCCTTTCTGTAATCTTTTAGTTTTACAATTTGATTTTTACTTATTGAATACAGTAAAAAAAATTGCATATTTTGCTTGTAGTGATTCATAATTAGAATTCTGATTTGAATATATTTTCCACTCGTTGTTTCTAATACAAAAAATATTAACTTTATTTGGATTTATTAATTATGATCTAACAAATCTTATTCATTTAGTAGCCTTTCTGTAATAATAATCTTTTACAATTTATGATTCTTACTTTTTGAATACAGTAAAAAAAATTGGACACCATGTGTATTTAGTTTCCCGTTCCAGTTATTATTTTTAGTTAGGACTTGTGTATGTTTAGATTTCATTATCTTTCCCTAAAGATAAAGAATCTATCCGATGTTTATATTCGTACAATCAATAGAGATCGTTAGATTATTGTTTAAGGTTGACGGGCACGCATGTCTTAATTTGTTTTTTTTTTACGAATTGGTCAAACTCAAACAAAAACATTGTTTTCAATCGTCTCCCGATTGAATAGAATTTTATTATAAATAATTATCTTGTAAATGGAATTTTTAAAGCATTCTGAATGTTAAAAATAAAGAAAAAAGTGTGCAAGAGAATAAGAAACACTACCTGCCCCCCCCCAAAAGTGAAGTTTTGTTTTATCGGCTGAAAAATGTAGGAAATCCGATCACATATTTAAAGGAACACCCCCACACACAAACAACCCAATGTGAGTTGTCCCCCTTCCATTTTCACGATGTCTCTTAATCGTGTTTTCAAATTGATTTTGTGCAAAAACAATTATTTTTTCCATTTTTGGCGCTGTTAGAACCACCCCAAGGTAATTTTATGTAGTCCTGTGAAGTTTTGTTGAAATCGGTTGAAAAATGTAGGAAATCCAATCCAATATATAAACGTTACAGACACACACACACACACACACACACAATCTGCGTTTTATAATAAGATGTTATATGGTTCCAACATTTGGTTATCATAATAGGTTCATAATGTTTTTCATAATTTAGTATTTTGTAACATCTCTATCAACCAATACAAGAACAATAGTTTAAAATAATACAAGAATATAAACCATTTCAAGTTTAAAATCGTTTTAAACAAATAATGGCAACTTGAGGTGTTCTTGAACATGATTTTGGTTCGTTGTTTTTGTCACCCTAACCCTGCAGCAAATCACACAAATTGCATTATATGTTTGTTCTTGTTTCTTTTTTTTTTTTCTTACAGCGGCTTAGATTGCGGAAACCAGAAGACTCAGAGGCTAAACCCCTAAGTGCTAGTGCTAAGCTTCGGGAACGAATTATCAAACGAGTGGCGGTGGAATTCACAGATGGCATGTATGGTATCCTTTTTACCTTTCACAAAAGGAGATTAACAACAAAAAAATTATCAAAAAAATAATTTTTTTTTTTTTTTTTGTCATCTACTTTCACCCAATTTACATACAATATTATCTTGTTTTGTGAGATGGTTTGTTGAATGTTTCATCAACTCACTATCTACGTCTATCAAAATATTTAACAGAAAATCCAACTATAAAAATGAAATTAGACAAGGAAAAGACTGAACTGCTATATAATACTGATTCTATGTGTCAGTAAATGCTGAGCAATTACATCATAGATGAAGTGGCGACTTGAGAAAATGGAAATGTGATTCCCTATACAAGCCAAAAAAAAAAATAATCCCATACTATGTGAAAAAACATTCTTACAAAGCTTTCAAAGTTTCAAATAATTTCATCTTAAAAGAAGTCAATATTATTAATATTTATATTATTTTATATTATTTAAAGCATTTCTTTCTTAGCTTTTCCCGGTGTTGTCTTAAAATAATGTTTACATACAGAATTTCAAAACAACTACAAAATATAAATTTAAAGCATATTTTTACTTCTTCCATTGTTATTATTATTATTGGGAGATTTATAGAGGAAATGTTTATTCTCCCATTTTTATTTCCCCCATTATGGGCATTGTTATAGCCGTGATATAACAATACCTTAATCCATGGATGGAATAGAATGGCTGAAAGGAAAACAGAATGACAAACATACTTTTTTTTTTCTTTTTTCTTTTCCCAGAGAGACTGTTATAATACTAAGATATATACAAATATATACACATTTACACGTGTCCCATGTAGGGAAAAATATAACATATATATATTATGTACCAACTACAGATTGAAAGGAGAATGAAAAGATAATCTTATTATGTTTTAATAATTCCCAGTGAAAATCATAGATGTTTCTTCTGTGTTTCTGGAGAAGCCATATTAAGGATTCAAGATTTGAGCAGGCCGGATTCATCTATGTCCTGAGCAAGAACGTATTCCACAAACAGGAAATGGCAAGTCTTGGAGGGTTTTTTTTTTTTTTTTTTCCTCAAATTGAGGACTGCGAGCCAGAAAATAGTTTTTCTATATCTGGGAAAAATATATTCCTAAAGGGAAATGAAGCTATGAACTTGTAAGCTGCAACAACTAGCTGGCCTAGGTAGGATGAACAACTTGTGTACCTCGACTCCAATAAGCTTATTGAATGACTGCCGCTTTTATCACCGTATGAATTGACATCACTAAGCATCCGTCACCTGACCAACACGACATCTCATCCAAAGGGAGATAATCGCTTTTTATTTCTCTATACTAGGGTTATTCCCCTTATTCTTTCCTTTGGCTTGTATAAAGGGATCAATTTATAATGATCACTCTGTCGGCTGGGGTTGTAGAATATGCTGACTGCACCTCTGCAGAAGGATAAGACCCCTCCCCACCAATGAGTAGTCCTGGGTATGATGATAAACTACATCCAGCAGAAAGCCTTTGATCAGGAGATTGGAGGTTTTGAGAAGCATGGAACCACTTCTTAATTGCTACTGTCCCCAGGTTCACCCTGACCTGGGGTGGTAGCACTTGTTAGGGTCCCATCTATGGACACACAGTGAATCCCCAAACAAAAATCAAGACACTAGGAAAGTATAGATATACACTTTATTGAAAAATACCAAATGACCAACAATACATTTTATCTACAAACTATATATCAAAAAAAAAAAAAAAAAATCATACATTCACCTTGAAAGTATAAAATTGTCCAAAATATCTGTAGTTGATGTTGTAAAATTGTGTTCAAAATGTTTAAATTTTGGCATTAAATAACCCATAGAAGTTGATATGCTACTAAATGAAATCAACCAAACTAAACCAATTTACAATCAATTTACATAACAAACTGATCCCTTCTCTTAAAATTTAGAAATTTAATTTTTAAGAAAAATATATTTTTGATCTGGGAAGCATAATCAGTAAAAATTAATATTCTTTGGAAAGGTATGTTTCTGTAGAAAAGGCGATATTTCTTTAACATACAATTTAAGAATTTAAACAATTATCCTGCCTGTTTGTAAATATGAGCCTTATCCTTTTCTACCTGGAACCAGTCCTCTTTAAGTTGGAATTGGTAATGATATCTGACAGAGAAATCTACATAGTGGGAAGGAATTATGGAAAGATGTTGTAAAATAGTGTGAAGAAGGAAAGAAAACCAGAGAAAAACAAGATGAAAGAAAAAAAATTATATATGAGTGGGTCATGAAATGTCAGCTTCATCAAGAAGAAATTACCTGGAGTTCGGAAATATATGTGCTATTTGATATGATTTTTAGTTCAGGACACTTGGCGCATCATTCCTTGAGATTCTTGAACCCTTCAAAAAACATATTTTAACGTTTGATCATTGAAATAAAAATTTGGGGAAGTGGTTTTTATTGAGAACTTTTCAGTTACTATCCCCAACCTCCGACTACATATATTAAGACAATATAAAGACAGGTCTATGGCCACATCACATTAAAACTCTGGTTCTCATACGAATAACAAAGTTAAGCAACATTGAGTCTGGTCAGTACCTTGATGGATGACTGCTTGGGAATACCAGAGGCTTAAGCTTGGATGTGTGGGTGGTGTAATGGATAATGGCTCAAAATCTTAATCAGAGAGGTGAGTTTCGATTCCTGTTGGGTTCATGTTATTCACTTATGCAGAAATACCATTGGAAAAGGTATGGATCCACCTCCCCCAGCTATGGGTTAATTTTTAAGACTTGTATCCCTAAACAATTATTATCTTAAAAAATAAAAATTCTTACAATCTAAAAATATTTCCTAGCTTTAAATAACCCTCAACGGGGGAACTATAAAAAATGAATCAATATAAAGACTGAAATAGGTTTACTGATTAAATATTATGAGACGGTGATCAAAAAATTAAAAGGCAAGTAAGAGAGAAAAGTGTACAATTTGCGATACATTAAAATTCTTTGTAGAGATATACAGCCAAAAATGATATAGAAAATCTTCAGGAAGATTTAAAAAAATTAGTTTTCCTACAAAAGAAACAATCTATATTAAACACATAACAGAAGTTGACCATAGTCGGGATCATCAAGTCAATGCAAACAATCCTTTCCTTAGCTGCATAATAGGTGCTTCGTCTTGGCTGCATATGGTTTTGAATTCAGTTTTCCTTCTCCTAGACCGGTTTCCACCCAAGGCTATAGAATCCTGTCTGTTGTACTAATTACCCATAGCTTGGTGGGAGAAGAGTTGAATTCATACCTTTCTCAAGGGTAAGTAATTGTAATGAACTGGAATTCAAATGTCATTCTCGGATTCCTCAATCCAAGCTGCAACTCATGCCTCTACTGTAGATTCAGAGGCACACATAACCTGAAGAAGTGCTATTATTCTAAAATATTTAAAAAATATGATCTATTTTCAGGTGCTGTCAAGTTTTGTGACTCTCCCCCCTAAAAGACTAACACATGACATTTCCTGTATACAATTAAATTAGAAATGAAGCATTCATATAATGCTAGAATGAAGCTAATAAAACTTCAAGCCTGATTAGTACCTAGATTGGTGACCACTTGGGAATATACCAGGTGCTGTAAATGGGTAATGGCTCAGAATTGTTAATCAGACAGCCGATTTCCAATTCATGTAGGAAAAGTATGACTTCACCTCTTCTCTTTTAGCTAAGGAATAATTATTAAGACTTGTATCAATAAAATCATTATCAAAAAAAAAATAATCTAAAAATATTTTCTGGCTTTAAATAACTTTCAAAGAGTTGATAAACCATAGAAAATCAATCAATCAATCAAATGCTGATTAGCTACACAGACATGTCTTTTAGATTTATTTACATTCTCTGCATTATGAATCTATAGAAATTACTGTAGCCACAAAGTGAGGGATCAGTTTGTATATTGATTGTGATATAGAATTGATCCCCCACTCTATATCTACCTTATAATTTTTTGTTAATCAAATTCTGATTAGCTATGAATCCACATCTCCCCACCCCCATTATAGGTTAATTTGTAAATACTTGTATCACTAAACTATTATTACATAAATAAAAAAAAAAAAAAAAATCATTTTCTGGATTAAAATAACCTGCGAAGAATTAATAGGCCATAGAAAACGCATCAATTGAATTATGTGTGCTTTTATTATTAATGAAAAATTTTCTGAAATTAAGTAACCTCTAAAGAATTGATAAACCATAGAAAATGAGTCAGTCAATTGAATTGTTATGTGTGCTTTTATTATTAATGAAAAATTTTCTGAAATTAAGTAACCTATAAAGAATTGATAAACCATAGAAAATGAGTCAGTCAATTGAATTGTTATGTGTGCTTTTATTATTATTATTGAAAAAATTTGTTTGTACATGTTTCTGGGCCTTAACTCATGTTTGCAGTCAACCTCGGCATTGGAATGCCAATGTTAGCAAGCAACTTTATCAAACCTGGCTTGACAGTTCATATGCAGAGTGAAAATGGAATTCTGGGTTTGGTAACTATACAACATTTCTTTATTTATCTCTCTTTATGTCTGCTGGATTATTTCCCAACCATTTTAGCCTTTGTCCTGTTTTCTACTTAAAAACAATAGAAACTGACTAGTCTTAAGATGATAAAATTCTTTATTTAAAAATGTTCTAATATTCGGATTATAATGACAAGTAATTCTCCCCCCCACTCACACACCTTTTTTTTTTTCCCTTCCTCTTCCCAGTTATATAACTTTCAATTAGTTTGCATGGATATATTGATGGATGCCGGCATGGAATGTTTTGGGTTCAAATCACAGGCTTGTTTGTGGCATTCACTTTCATACCAATGCCTTTTGGGAGGCATGAATTTGTTCGTTTTTGTTTTTTTTTTCTTTCCTAACTCTGGGTTAAATAGTAGGGTAAACTGGGCTTTCTAGTCTTTGATGGCAACAAATGAAAGGAAACAAAAACTGAATTCCCAACCATGGAGAAAACAACAGGAAACTACTCCACCATCGTTCCTAAGAATTTATGGTAATTCACAAATAAAGAAAAGCAATCTGTAGAGAGGCATGGCTTTTTAAATAAATAATTTAGAGTACACCCAAATCTTATTTCAAGAATGCTTGTAAAGGCTGACTCTGATATTATTAATGTTGTTCAGCTGTTCCTTTTTGTTTTGGACATTATGATGGCAAGATACAAGTCTTGAGATTTTAAGCAATTTACTGTTATTATTTTGAATTAAGCCTCTAAGCCACTGAACATTCTTATAGGGATGTAGAAGAAAAAATAAGGAATCTCTGGTTATACTACCCAAAATTGGTTTGTGTTTTTCAGTGTAAATTATCAAATATAAGTATTTGTAGTAGAAATTTACCTTGGCAACCCAAAAGAGCCAGAGTCGCGTATATATTTAGCAATGGAGTGTGGAGACAGTAAATTGGCAAGCTTCTGACTGAAGATAAATCGGGCAGCTCTTCGTGTAGGCAGAAGTAGTTGTGTTATTTGTAGCCATTTTTGACTGGTTCTGGGTGCTCGTTGGTTGCGTGATGGCTGGATCAGGTGCATAAAGGCATGGTATGCTCCTTCAAGAAGGAAGCTCATTTCTGACGATGGAGATCGAGGAACGGATATAATTATGGAATTGATTTACCGATTGGACTTGTGGATAGGTTTTTTTTTTTTTTTTTTTTTTTTTTTTTTGTGTGTGCTTCTGGCTAACAGTATTATTATAAATGTGAGTATAAAATTGTCAATTAATAATGCAGACTATTGCCCTAATCTTTGGTGATATTATCAGGTGTATATCAATCCAGTTAACCTGCAGGGAATTTCAAAGTTAAACCCTTTATTTAATGTACTGTTCCACTGCCCATACTAGGTATGTCTCAGTCCTTACTTTTAGTATTGCTTTTTTTTATTGCTTGCCCTGTTTCCACTTAGTCCAAATATACACTGCCCAGCTCAGGGATTGGCCTCTCAATTAACGTGACCAAATTCACAAACCAATGCTTTAATCCACTAGGCTATAGTCCTGTAGGACAATTCTGTGTATAATTTGGAGCCTTAAACCTAAACTGCCTGCTGATGAGTGCTACTGCTGTTTGATTGCACTTTTCCCTTTTGTTATATCTGTGACTGTTGAAGACCAGAGAGCATATTGGCCAAAACGTTGTGATGACAACAACAAAGATGAGGACAATAGTCCACATATAAATAACTGTAACTCCTCCAGTATCTGTCTATATTTCTGAGATGAGGTATTATGTACACTATTTACACTATTCGGACTATTGTCCTCATCTTTGTCAACATATTTATTACAACGTTTCGGACGTTATGCGCTCCGGCCTTCTTTAAGTGGTTGGAATGTCGAACTGAACCCGTTATTTCGCTCTGTTCTAGTTCCACGTGCCATGTTTAATGGATGTCAGTTATCGGTTATCTCCTGTTAATTTGCCTCTGCAAGTTCTCCACTGCCTTAACCAGGTATTGAACTCACACTCTTTGGGTCCTGTCACTGGATCTGACCAACATCTTTATCCACTGTGTATATCCTTGAGGACATCTGTGTATGAATTTCTGGGTATTATAAACCTAATGTCTTCAGCAACCATTTTTTTACCAGAGCTCATATTGCAATTTTTGTTGTTATCGCTTTTTCTCTGGCACTCCTTATTACTGGTTCTCATATTGTATTCATTTCTATGCTTGGTCAGCTCAGGAGATTTTTGTGGCACATCTTAGAAATTCAGACAGAAGTCAGTTGTAATGTTTTAAAATGTAAGACCTCTAACTACCTGCACTTAAAGACTTTCAGAAGAGCTCGGATCATTGAAAGATTCCACTTGTAAGGCATTAGATAGATTTAAAAAAACAAAAATACTTTTGACAGATTCTGATATTTAACATTGCTTTGTATTGTTTCCTTTCTTTTAAGAATGACTACTAAGAACATCTCCACCCTGCCTCCAAATAAATTATAAACAAATCCTACAGATGCCTGCTGGGATTTGAGTCTTTTGTGCATTTAGTGTACCATGTCAAAGGTCAACAAAAATTTAACCATTGATGCCTTTTTGTTGCATATTTTCATGTTATTTTATATAATCTTAATGTTAGTTTGTGACACTTTTTAAAATAATTATTTTCATTGTCTCTTTTTATAAAAAATCTATTTGTTGTATGATAAAATGTAAGCAAAACCTAATATAAGGTTGTTTATTTACCTCCAAATTGATCAACATTTCACCATAAATTCTGTTGATATTATGATCTTAGTTTTTATGGGAATATTAATCAGCATTGAAAGAGCTTTAAAAAGATATACAGCTTGACTATATTGTTAGAAATTGAAATGTTAGCATATAGTTGCAGATGCCAAAATCTGCCATTTTTAATTTGGCCCAACTAAGTAAAACCCTTGTAAGCAAGGCCACAGTCAAAAGTCCACCACAAAATAAAACAATTGATCACCTTTTAGATATATCCTAGTACTGTAAAACAGTATGTAATTTAACTTTAGGTGACAAAAAAAAAAAAAAAAACTGAAATATTGATTTGTGACAATTTTTCAAAACCACATTTGATAGGTGGTAGTGATAGGTGGCTCACCCTATCCTTTGACCTACTGATTTAAAATAGGAATCATTCAATTTGTATCATGAAGCTCTATAAGTATACCAAATTTGAAAAAAAAAAAACAAACTACTATCTGTGTCGGTGATAGTCATACCCTTGTTGATTTGACATGGAATGATATAACTGGCATGTTTGTCTAAAAATAAATAAATTCACCTTCATCCCTGCCATGCACTAATGGCTTAGGGTAAAATCTCTGATACCAAATCAGTCAGGTTTTTCAATCCTGGCTTGAGGCAATCAGATGTTTAGCCACACTGATGAGCTGTGAAACAATCTGTCTGTGGATGACAATTTATATATATATATATATATATATATATATATATATATATATATATATATAATGTAATGTAATGTAAAAGTGAACATAGAAGTCAACACTTAGGCGACAGTCTGTTTCATGCTATATGCAATCGTCAGGCCACGAAAGTGCTGTTATTTATTTTTATATATATATATATATATATATATATATATATACACGTGTCAGTGGTGCATTGTGGGTAGTCTATTTTGGCAGTTATCTTACTGAAAGTCATTTATTTGTTTATTTATCCCTTTGGGTTAAATTATTTTGCTTGTTTTTATTTATTTTTTATTTTATTTTTATTTTTATTTATTTATTTTATTTTTTTTATTTATCTTACTAACCGTTAGAAAAGCAAATAAAGATAATCAATCCAAATAAATACAAATTAAAAACTGTTCCCACCAAAATAATACTTAGAATAAACTACAACAATCAACTCCAAAATCGAATAAATAGCTTTAATTAAGTTCGCAAACCAAAACAAAACTATTCAATAAGCAATATAAACAAATTTTTACGACGTTAAAAAAACACTGATTTTTTTTTTTTTTTTTTTTTTTTTAAATAAATAAATAAATATATAAGATAAGAAATAATAAAAATAAATAAAAATAAGAAAAATAATTTAACCCAAATAGATAAATAAACGACTTCTGGTAAAATAGCCGCCAAAATAGACTACCCACAATGCACCACTGACATATATATATATATATATATATATATATATATATATTCGAGAAAAATAACAGCACTCATGGCCAGACGATTGCATATAGCATGAAACAGACTGTCGCCTCTAAGTGTTGACTTCTATGTTCACTGTTATATTTACACACACTCTCTCTGATATTGAGCAGTTTATTCCATAAATATAACACATCTTATGACTATTTCTTATATATATATATATATATATATATGATGTCAATGGGCAGAATTCAGTCAGACTAGGAAACTGTGGTATTAAAAAGGGCTCAATACACGTGTGAAAAATAAAATAAAAATAACTTTAAACTTTAAAAATAAATTTTTGAAGTCATTGACGTGGAATGACTTTATGTAAGTTACAGTAACCAATATGAAAGAAGATTCAATTATATGAATTAGAAATAATAAAAAAAAAAAAAAAAGCAACAGCTTTCTTTCTTTCCAGAACATTAACCACGTTGAACACTAACTTAAATTTTTCTCAGTTCTTACTGTTTGTTGTATTTGACCTGAGCTAAAAATAAGTGTTAATGTTCATTGATGTAGAAACTGGTTTTCGGTATCAATTTTTTTTTCTCTCTTTTATATAACAGAAACTACAATCCATTCAAGATTTGGGGCAAAAATACTCTAAATTACTCCACTTAAAATATCTCATTTAACCCTTATATTGCAGAAATAATGAAAACTTTCAAAAAATGGAACACTATAGACATATGTGGCCTGCCCTATAGATATAGGTGGTCCATAGGTGGTATATCTGTGTTCCTCTCTTCCAAGAGGGTTGGAATATGTTGACTGTATCCTTGCAAAAGGGCTCATGTATCGGTTCAGATATATTTATACAAATATAAATTAGTAATATTTTCCTATCGCTGAACTACTTAATTGCTTCTAAACTCAAATGTAACAGAATGAAAGCCAAAGAACATAAAAAGACTTATTTCAGTATTAAATAACCCTGTGGTGGGGTTGACATGTAAAATCAATCAAGAATGTGTCTTTCGCTCCTAGTTGTTCAAGGTAATGCTAGCTGGATGTATGTAAGTAACACAAGATTAACCTTTGTTTCATTTGCTGGCAAAGTGACTGTTTCATCTTAGATGTCCAGCAATAATAAAAACATTACTTTTAAAATCAAGTTTTCCTTAAGAACAAAGAAAACTCTCACTATGTGACCATCATAAAAAAAAAAAAAAAAAAAAAGTTTGTTTAAAAGCATCTATGTTTCTTATTCATGTGTATGGAACCCCCGAGCGGCCCCGGTATCACACAAGGGTGAATGAGATCACAAGAGGCCCGCTAACATTTTTGAAGATGTTAAATCTGACGAGGTGTAACAACATAGATGACAGAACGAGGTTATATATGATATATGCTAATTTATTCTAGAAAAAAAAAAGAAATAAAAGTGATCGGAACGGTGGAGGTGCAGAAGTTCTAGTGCAGGCATTGATGGTCGGTGTTGGTCGTTGCGGGATGATCGCTGTTGATGTTGGCGGGATGATCGCTGTTGGTTGTTGCAGTTGAAACTGATGTGGGTTGTTGCGGGATGATCGCTGTTGATGTTGGCGGGATGATCGCTGTTGGTTGTTGCAGTTGAAACTGATGTGGGTTGTTGCGGGATGATCGCTGTTGATGTTGGCGGGATGATCGCTGTTGGTTGTTGCAGTTGAAACTGATGTGGGTTGTTGCCGGGATGATCGCTGTTGGTGGTTGAAGTTGATTGTTGTTGTTGGTTGCTGGCAGGATCATCGCTGTTGGTTGTTGAAGTTGATCGTTGTTGGCAGGATCATCGCAGTTGATTGTTGCAGTTGATGTTGGTTGTTGTAGTTGGTCGTTGCCGGGTTACCAACTTGACGTGTTGGGACGGAAAGAAGAGCTGGCGTTGTTCGGGCATGTCACAGGTCCAGTGCAGGTGTTGCGTGTTTGCCGGTCGAGTCCGATATCAGTAACCTCCCATATTAATTACTAACATAGTGTACGGGAAAGGTTAAGGACGACGTACAGGCAGCCAATAGGGACGGAATGCCGATAGTCAAACAGGACCAAGGAGCCAGGAGTAGTAGGCGAAGAAGAGAGAGAAGGAAAGTTTCCAACTATCGTCAAGTTGGCAGACAAAAAAAAATGGGAGCGTAACTTAATACGCAGCCTGGTGATCGACAATCCTGGCCAACGAAGGCCAGGGGCCTGCGTATCCGACCGTTTCAGTTGCCGACCACCCCTCGAATTTAGTGAGAAGCCACTGTCTTGTGGTAAGGGAGGCCAGCAAGTGAATCGGATAAGCTAACAGTAAAGGCTCTATAATAAAATACGTCGAGGTTAGCTAAAGGGAACTATGGCCTAAAAATGTCTAGCAGTATATTACAACTAGGTTTGTAATATAACTTAACTAAAAAGGGAACTTGCTAGTCTCTCCCACAGGTTAAGTGTATAGGGGGCACAAACGAGAGGTCAAGGTCGAAATGACCTGTTCTCTTAGTTTAAGGAGCGAAGGAGGAGGTAACTCCGACACGTTTTTATTTTCCCTCCATACCAAGACTTGTGCTTACGGTCAAACCAGGCTAAAAACACCAGTTCTCATTTGATTACCAAAGTTCAGCAGTGTCAATCCCATTTAGTATTTAGGTGGGGGTCGAGTATATGGAAAACACCAGATTTTGTAAGCATCCTCCTAAAACCCAGTATATGTTTTGGCTTTAAATAAACCAGAAAGGGTTGATGAGCTGTAAAAAAAAAAAAAAAAAAACATTCAGTCAACCTCAGAGATTGTTTTTTGTACTTCAGACAAAAGTGTTGAATATGATCACCAGATTTTTTTTTTTTTTTTTTTTTTTTTTTTCATAAGAAAACCTACAATTTCTTCAAACTTCTTTTACTTGGTATTCTTCTAGGGTCCATTCCCACTTCCTGGAGAAGAAGATGCAGATCTAATTAATGCAGGCAAGGAAACCGTCACCAACATTCCTGGAAGTTCGTTCTTTTCAAGTGATGAGTCTTTCGCCATGATCAGAGGGTAAAATATTTTGATTTTAGTTTTTTGAAAAACTACATGGTTAAAAATAAAATGAATACATTATGCAATTAAACCTCATTTAACTGTAATGAAAAACATTGATAGATGAAATTAGACCCCATTTTACTTGTCATCACAAATAGTCAGTTTGGAGATTTTTTTCAAATAACTGAACTCCTTGTTTAAATCGGAACAACAAAAGTCATGAATAAAAGAAAAAAAAATTATAAAAACGAAGTGATCAGTTGTTCCTAAGTATTTTTGAAATTATCTAAATTGACAAAAATGCAAGTAAATAATATCTACTAAAAATTCAAACTGTTCAATCTGGCTTACCATCAATGTAAATTGAATAAGAGAAACATTTTTAAGGAATGTGACGTCGTCCCCGGTCGCAGCGTCGACTGTGTCGTTCGATCCCGTTCAGCGGTGCCAATTGTGACGTCACGTGCTCCCAGGCTCTGATATCCTGGTCACGGACAGCACCAGTTGTGACGTCTTTTTGTGTGGCGTCAGCTGTTCGCCTCCTCGCTGCTCCAAACGTGACGTTCTAACCCTTTGGTTAGATTGATACCAGCCTCGTCGTTCCCAACCTGCTTCCAACGCCTGGTTACCAGGGTAACTGCACTGATCTCGGTCTGCCTACCCCGTTGTGACTTGATCTTAGACAGACGAGATCAAACAGGGCTTAGGGCCGTAATGCAAGTTGAGTCTAACGGGGTGATAACACACAATTATGTATAATAAAAAGAAATAAAATAACAACTCACAAGGTCCAACGATCAAGAAAAAGGTAACAAACTTTTATGTCTATTTGCTCGGTACATAGGACTATGTCTACCTCCCGACCCGTTCTGTGGATTGTGGCACAACGCTTTTACTAGGCAACTTTAAGGCTTCCAGTTGTCTGCTCTCTTAGAAATTTGCGTTTCGGTGTGTGTCTTTGGACGAAAGTCAAAAAAACTTATTTCTTGTGGTCTGATTCTAAGTCGCTCTTCAAACTACTTGTTCTTGGTTGAAGAAAAGTCTAGAAGTGTGCGTGAATCTTGGTTAGCTATCTTGATGCGGTTTCAACACTGGGCGCTGATCTCTGCTTGTCGTTCATGGCTGATCTCTCTCGCCGTCCGCAGCGCAAACTCTCTTCTTCAGAGTCTGAATTATTGGTCACTCATCTCTGCCGTCAGTGCGCGAATTAACTTCTTCTCTTCAGCTTGCTCTGATTCCAACTTCTCCACTTAGGCCAAACAATGACACAGTTTATCGCTAATTGGATACGATCTAATAAAGGGATTTCTCAGACTGGGTGGCGTTTTCGTGAACTAATAAAAATATTTCACTTTTTCTTTCGCTTGAAGCTTGATAACAAAAATCTTAATTATCTCAAAAAAACATTTTCAGGCAACATCATCTTGTGTGGCTTTATTTTCAATTCTGGAATTGTCTGGGTTTTCATATTAATGGTTTGCCTGCATATCCTTAGATAAACTTCCCACCTGTTACCTATCATATTTTTTTTTCCATTGTCTCTAAACTTTATTTCTTCAACCAAATTGATAACAAACTTCCATTTTTCGTGGACACGGAAGTAGGTCAGGTGCTTGACCTGGATATCTTCCAACATCTGTTATGTATCAATCGTGCGTGTGTGTGCTCGACTATGACCTGGTTTTCGTATTATTTTTTTTTTCTTTCTTTTTCTTCTTCTTCTTCTCTTTCTTTCTCCCAGATCGCTTGAACGCAATTAAAGAATTATTCTCAAAACCCAAATATTTTTCAGCTCTAAATAATTATCAAATGGTTGACAAACCGTAAAATAAATCATATATTTGTTTCCAGCTTGCTAAGTATGCATGGTGCCACAAATGGTCAAAGAAAAAAAAGATAATGTTACTCAGCATTTTAGTGTGACTCTTGTTTTTGTTTAGTGTACTCACTATAACCTGAACTTAGATTATGTATTTTCTCCCAGAAAGTGTAAGTATCATGATCAACAATTTGAACAAGGCCAAAAGCTGGAACTCCTCTTGGTCACTCGGTTAATAAATCAGTATCAAACAAATGAATAACTTGTTTGAAATAAACTCCTGAATTGTGGGATGCTGCTGTAAGTGCATGCTACTTGATTAACATATGTTGATTTTTCTAAGCATTGCTTAGATGTAACACAAAGCCGAAAGTATGGGGCACCCAGCGAGAATCGAACTCACTATTCCATCATAACCGATCTAGCGAGACAAGTGTGTTAACCATTGCACACTGAATTACTCTTTTTCTCCTTAAAACCTTACTGAGCATTTTAGTGTGATTCTTGTTTTTTTTGTTTAGTGTACTCGGTATAAACATAGAAGTTGAAGATAATAAAATCTTTGCAGAGTTATGTCCCTTTATGTCAGTAAATTCACTAATGCTTTGTATATATTAGTTGCATGATATAACGATTTATGTCAGTGGACATTATGGATAAATCTGAGAAAAGAATAAGAATTGTCCAAACCCAATATTCAATTGAGAAATGGTAGACAACATACAAAACTTAACTTTTTCTGTGAATGGTTTTGTTATAAACTAATGAATGTTCTTTCAAAAAACTCTGGCATGTGAAGGGACAGATGACATCATATCTCCTGCTCAGGTAGCAAGATGACAAGCCACAATTAGATGGTTTTGTGACCTATCTGGAACTCTCATACATGTAGCATTCAGACTACATCTGTGTCCTGAGTAAGACGATGAACTATGTCCAACAGTGGGGCCTCTGGTCAGGTGATTTTAGGGAGTGTAGAGCTGTCTCTTGGTTGCTGGTGTTCCCAGGTCCACCCTGGCCTGGGTGGTGACACTTGTTGGGGTCCTAGCTGTGGGTAGGTGGTTGGGCCCTGGACTGGGGTTGGAGCATTATGAAAGTGTAAAAATAGGTTTTAATACCAGAAATGCTTTTTTTAAAAAAAAAATTATTACCTGCAATACATTTTTGAAGATAAAGGAAATAAGAATTATAATAATTAAATAACCCATTGTGGTTGGTATGCCATAAAACAGATCAAATCTGAACCTCTACTACAGCTATGTGTGGGTTTTGACCTGTGTGTGTTAAAGTATAGGTGTGTATACTCACTACAGAAGTAATAATTAGTTACTTTGTTTGGTTTCATGCTTGACATAGATCAGAATGAGAAGGTCTGAAGTGTCCGAGGGTGATAATACTTCAGTGTGACATTGATCAGGACAATTGTTGAGGTCTAAAAGCTTTGAAAGATGCCTATCTATGTAGGGTACATAAGGTTTATCCATGATCTGGGTTAGCTAGTAAGTGATAATGAAGTCATGATTGTTTCTCTTCAAATATGAATAGTAGCTGAGGTGTGCCCAGAGAGGATACCCATAATCCACCCAGTTATTCTGTTGAACATGTCAGTACTGTTGTCCTGGTGATCATAGTGATGACAAAGGGCATACTTTGAAGAAAGGCCACCCAAAAGTTGTGGTCCTCATTATTGGGACCCTATAATATAGGTGAACACATCCTTGATATAGGCCCCAAGTTCATGACCATGGTTATTTGAAGGTCTTCTTTTTGTGAGTGGTAGTGATACAAGAATTGTTAATTCTTGTATCAATTCTTTCCTGTTTTTTTAAAAAGAAAAAAAAATGAGGTAGAATTGGTGTCGGGTGGTGTTAATAGATGCCGTAGAATCTTTGACTGCTTTTTTTACTTTCAGAGAATAAGATTAGTGAAATTACCAGCTACTTCTCTATTCCTAAGACCAAAAAAACAAAATGTTGTTGGTGTATATATATATATATATATATATATATTTTCTGTTTTGTAAATAATTTTAGTCTCTTGCCATTCTATTTCCTACTAAAAAAACATCTCTCCTCATCGTTGATGCATTTTTTTCCACATTTTTTTTTTTTTTTTTTTTTTAACTTTTTATCATTCTTGTATTTTTCTGTCTGATAAAAAGTTCTACCATGAGATTACAATGCTCAAAGTAAATTGATATAGTCTGAATAATTCAATCAGTTTTACACTTTGCAAACAGAATCAGTCTCAATAATTGTTGTTCGACCAATCCTATGGAAGTGTTTGTCGAGGAATGCCTCGGTGACCTTAATATCTCCTTGGCCTTTGCTTTTTAGCCGATTAATTTTCTTTATTAAATTATGTAAAACCTGTTGTGCCTTCTCAGGCTGACATTTTCCGCTGACATGATGCAGAAAGATTATATTGAATCACTTGTTAGGTTTGCTGCTATGAAGGTTGGTTCCACATGTTGTGCTAAATAATTTTCTTTCCAGAATCTACCTTAAAGTCTACCATTCGTCCATGCATTGAATATTTCTGCACCATATGGTCAGGTGCTCCTGCTATGCCTTTAGAGATTCTTGATAAAATCCAAAGAAGGTGCAATGTTATAGTCCTGAGCTGGTATCTCAGCTTCAGTCACTATCCTACCTTTTCTATAAATACTTTCATGGTATCTATTCAGATGAACTTTCCTCTATGGTACCAAGACTTTAGGAATTTAAGCATAGTACTATATTTGTGGCAAAATCTCATTTTACAGTCGAAACTGAATTTTTTACTAACAGATTCTTCAGTTGCACTTCTTGCTTATGGAACTCTTTCAACTTCTTGCTTCTGAGTCAAGTTTGATCTACAAAATTTAAATGCAGTGTCAATCGTTATCTACTGTCTTTTTAGTTCTTGTTCTTTTAATTGTCCTCTCTCCTTAAGAGAGGTTTTTTTTTTTTTTTTTTTTATCATTCTCTACTCCTTACATCTTAGTGGATGTATTGCTTTGCTTGGGGTGAAATAATTAAAATATATTGGAGCCTCATAGTTTTAGTGATTGCAGAAATACATCTGCAAATATAACACTGATATCTTAGTTGTTAGCACGAATAAGATTTCAACAGGTCCAACTCGTGGATATAATATTAAGTGTGTTTGAAATGGAAGAGATAGTTGATAATATTAGACAGATGTTCAAATTACACCTTTCTGTATCAATTTCAGATCATGTAATTTAACCCATACTGCTATGTCATCTATTTTCCTTTGCTGGGTACATTGGTGCTGTTTCAGTTTTAAAATCTGTTCATTAAAGATTGTATTTCAGCTTAAATATTTAGAAATGCCATGCACTGTTTAAATTTAATGATCTGAAAAAATATGTTAGCATTTGTGTAACTAGCTTGTTTATCCATTTTTTCACATTACTTGGCAGAATATGATCATCTATGAAATACACTTATCTCCAATGTATGTAAATTATGATCTTACGTCAGGGTTTCATAGTGTGTCCTTGTCTTACTACCATTGGTTCATAAAGTATGTAATGTTAACGTTCAAATTGTATTCAACCTAAATAGTTTAAATTTCATGATGCTAAAATAGGTTACTGTTTTTAAAAGATCAAATTATTCCTTATTTAGCATGTTGGAGTCTATGTATACATACATAGGCATGTTTTTTTTTTGTTGAAGCAGGACCATTATTAATTTCACAGAAAGCAAAGTGGATCCTGCCTGACAAAGAATTTGTCATAATGATTTGAGGTAAGATTTTACAAGGCCTGATGCTCTTCCTGACTCCCAACTAATACACTTACAGTAGGCCAAGTACACCAATTGTCTTTGTCAGTACACCATTTCTAGGAAAGTTGCCATTCATGGATTGAGACCCTATCTTAGCCTTTCATATACTAGATGCATGTCACACATTTTTTGTAAGAAAATGATGATTTTATGTTAACTCCTTGTTAAAATTTGTGGAGAAAAAATGATGAATTTCAGTATTACTCAATGGTCTTGCTGATGTGATCTTCATCTTCTGGCTTTCTCCTTCTATATTTTGGATAGGAGTCATTCTCTTGTTCAAATTTGAATTTAATTTATATCAAAGGGAGAAAAAAATTTTCAGTGGAGAGTTTTTGCCTCTCATCAGAACACCCTCCCCCACACACACACACTAGTGCCCCCCCCTCCCGATCAAAAATGAAATATACTTATCCAAGTACCCTGGGTAATGTCGTTTGAATATATATATATATATATATATATATATATATATGGTTAGGGGGGGGGGGTCTATCTCCAAAACCCTAGGAGTTCAATAACAAACAAAGGCTAAAACTTATATGAAGAAATATAGTCCTAAGATGTGCTATATTTATGGGATAAAGTGCACAATATCAGAGATAGAGCATGTGTAAATATAAAAGTGAACATTTCGAGGTGACAGGCTGTTTCATGCTATATGCAATCGTCAGGCCACCAAGGCTAAGGTACGGCCAGGGATGGACTATAGGGAGATAAATCAATACGTAGATGCCTTTACAACAGATGTAGACGTGTGTGCTGAATGAATGAGGTATAAATCTGGAATTACAGTGGCAGGCCAAGGTGGTACACCTATGCACAGACACGGTATACATGTACCAATGGCTACAGAATATCCTGACAGGTAAAATCCAAGTGAGGACAAAAGCTGTGAGCAAAATGCTAGTGTGCAGGAGACCGGCTAACCTACAGAAGCTAATCGAAGAATATAGTTTGATAGTTGATGTCAAACTGATGTCACGGAGGAACCTGGCTGATAAGTTGACTAGAGTGCGAAAAAAATGGCTTGACATGTTGAAACAGGGATCAGAGCCACCGGCGTACATGGCCCTTACGAGCCAGCTGACCATTGAACAAATCTCGCCATACATAGCAAGAGCGGTCATCCTGGCATTCAACATTCGGCTTACATCACCCAGGAAGTATGTCCTGCAGTGACAAAAGCAATGGTTAGGTCAGCCATATGAGGTTGCAAGGAATGCTGTGTGGTGGACCCTGCCCCCAGTCCAGTGGAACAAGGGCAAGCTTGGGAAAGACAAACTGATGGCAACTGGGCATGGACATGACACATCACAATGGCAATCATTTTTTTTAACTTTGACGGATTGCAGCCCAACGTGTTTCAGTGTGTGGCACCCACTGGCATGACAAGATGAATTATTGGTTATACAACAATTAAGAGCTATCTTTTATGAATGTGATCTCCCAGTTGAACTATTGACAGACAAGGCCCCAACTTTCTGTAGCCGATATTTTCAGGACTTCGCAGTTGAATGGGAAGTGTGAGTAAGGTACAGAGGCGCATACACTCCATTTTTTAACATTAATTTTATTCTATGCAAGGGCGGTCAAAGTAAAGGACTGCTGTTGTATGAGCAGTAAGAGGAAGGTGCAGTTTATGTGGATATGTGGGAAAGATAATGTTTAGCCTTAGAAGTTAAGATTGTTGTAGTCATGAAAGCATCCTCTTGGGATTCTGTTCCACAAAGCAACAGTTCTTGGGAGGAAGCAATCTGAGTGGAACTTGCTCCGTACTAATGGAATATGAAAGGAAGGAGTGCAGGTTGTCTCAATGTACATGGTGTGATGGGTCTTAGCTGGTAGGGTTAATGTGGGGGGGGGAATAAGTTATGTAAATCATCCGAACATTTTCCATGGAAATAATGGTAGATTAGTAAGAGGCTTGCAACATTTTGTCTATGGTAAAGTGATTGTAAGGTAGAAAACAATTCATCACCCACAAGGCCACATAGATGATATTGGACTCTATCAGATACACTGATTTATTCACATTGAGATCTTTTGTTGTTTTTTGTCAAATTTCAGTCTGGTATATCCTGCAAAATGTTCAACAGTCTATCCTCATTGGGTACAACTGCTGAAATGTTATAATGAAAACAAGGACACTATTTTAGAATAAATCAGTTTGTAATGTTTTAGGCTTTTTTTTTTTTTTTTAACAATGCACAGTACTTAATGTTTCATACCTGAAAGCTTCTTTCTTTATTTTCTTTAATCCACATTATTTATCAAGTTTTCTAAGAAGTAGAGCTTGGATAAACTTTTTCTGAAAATAAATTATGATCTGGAATTTGGGTGGAATTAATCATGTCACATACACTGAATTCTTCATAAAAATTCAGAATATTGAGTTGATAAATTCTAAACATATCAAATACCTATGTACATGAATCAGTTAATCCGTTATAACAAATTTCAAATCAGGAAGAAAAGGAAATTATTTTTTTCCCAAAACTTTTCACACCAAGCAAGGTGGGAGTGCCACTAGCACTCAAGGAGTTACAGAAAGTGGAAGCAAGAGTAAAGAGGCATGATAGAGGAAAGGATGAAGAGAAGGACAGGGAATAGATCAAGGCATTTGAAGATGTTGATTGACATTGCATTTGAATAGTTGGAGATTATAGCTATCAGGGAAGCAAGTAAGAGGAAAGGAGTTCCACAGATGGGAAGTGCGAGACTTGAAGCTAATGGAATAGATGAGATGGCTACATTTAACCATTTTGACAGTGAAAGGGTGGGACTGAGATGCCAACCTAGTAGCATGTTTAAATTCATGCAGTTTGGGAACTAGCAAAAGTAGTTCATCGGAGCAGTTACCATGAAAGTATTTGTAGAAAAGAAAGAAAGAGGTGACAGCAAAAGCTAGGATGCCAGGTCAGGATTGATAACATTACAGACTCTTTTTGGACATTTTGAGAATCTTGAAATATATAGCCAGCGATCGGACCACTACGGTAGCAATATTCAATGCACATACAAATGGTAGATTTATAAATGTGAAAGATGGATTCTGACAGAAAAGATTATCTGACATGACACAATGAACCAACCTTCTTAGCAGCAGACCTAACAATTGATTCATTATAATAGGAAAACGTGAGACCAAAAAGGTGCAATAAATTGCTCTCCTAGGGGTTAGCATCAGCCATGTTATTTGAATTTTCCGCCACCACAGAGTTGTCCCAATATAACAATATAAAGCCTCCTGCAATAATTGCACGTGTGTTGACTGCACATAGTCTATTGGTAGTAGACTAATATATGCTAAGGATTGGCAACATACAGCATGCGTGCCACACCTGACATACCAAGGAACTTCCAATGGCATGCAGCTGCAAATGACATCACAAAGTCTGAACCAATAACTACTACAATACAAAGAAGATATTTAGCCATTTCAAAACTGCTTGTTTGTTGGACTCCCATTAATAATAAAAACTTAAAAAACACTTAAACAGTTTATTGCTATTTATGTTGTTTTATATTTTTTATATATATATATATATATATATATAGACCTTGACTTGTATAAAAATCTGTATGCTGTTGGCACACTGAATGATTTTAAAACCCTAAGTCGGCACATAGTCAGCAAAAGGTTGATGACCCCTGATGTATTCCATCTAGGAAATTTGTGATACTATCTTGAGAATCAGGTTAATTTGGATTTGTTGCCTATGGTCATGAATTAATCCATTGACTATGCCAGAAATGTGTCAATATCTGTCATTTGCAGTTAAGCTATGAAATCTCTAGTGAATAAAAATTTACGGATTACAGCTATATCATATTGAAACACCAGTGCTTGTACAGTTGTAAAGTTAAACAATGTTGAACCTGGTCAGAAGCTAGATTGGTGACCACTTGGGAATACCAGATGCAGTAAGCTTGGATGTGCAGGTGGTGTAATGAATAATGGCACAGAATTGGAAATTGGAGAGCAGAGTTCCAATTCCTATTGGATTCATTTTTACATACACCCAAATACCATTGGGAAAGGTGTTAATCCACCTTTTCTCCCTCCAGCTATGGGTTAGTTAGTAGGACTTATATCAGTAAATCATTATGTCTAAAAGATTCTTACAGTCTAAAAATATTTTCTGGCTTTACATACCCTGTAAAAACATTACATAAAAAAGTCCTATCTGCAGTGTTACTGAGGACAGTGTTAATATTTGTATAAGTATTAGCTTTACCTCAAAACTAACTCTATTGTAATTATCCAAAAGCTGTTCAAAAATCATATGTTCAAATGTTTCTGTAAGTTTTTTTTGTTTTTTTTGCTTCAGAGGTCACATTGGTCTCACAGTGCTAGGAGCTATGCAAGTGTCACAATTTGGAGATCTGGCAAATTGGATGATTCCAGTAAGTAGACAACAATAAGAGGATGAGTAGTTGCATGTTTTACAATGCTACTTCACAATGGCAAGGCATTTAATTTTAGCTACCTGTTTGGTTTTATTTGAAGGAAACTTTTCAAAAAGATAAATTTTTTATAGGTTAAAATATGTCAGCAGTGAAAAACAAAACTGTTTAAAAGTTTTTGATTTTTCTTTCTACCTTTGTCTAACTCCCAAAAAATAAAATTAATATAAGATGAATTCATGGTATAAAAATGTCAATGACATGTCAATGAAAACTTCGTAGAAAATTGCCACCATTCAAACACCATTTATTTTTATTTGTTTTTTTAATTTTGCATTCAGATCTTCATTTTTACCTTATTATAAAAAATAATGGCCAGAATTTAATATTTCTATTTACATTTGGACTGTTATCTTCATCTTTGTGTTATTATCACAACAGTTCAGCAGTTGTTCCTTTCTGCCTTCTTCAGCTGCTTGCCACTCTAGATAACTTTCAGAGAATTTCAAACTAAACTCTCTCTCTAATCTGACATGACCGAAATGTGATATCAACAAGAAAGTTGGAAACAATAGTCCAAATGTAAATAACATTAATTCCTCATTTTGAAAATTCAGGCAGAAGTTAATATAGGTACCTCCACGAGATCGCTAAAAAAAGAGCATAGCATGATGAAAAAAGAGTAAACTTGGAAAACAAAATTTTATCGTCTAAATGTTTGTTATTCATTAAGAGGAAAGGTCAAAATATTTTTTCGGGTATTTTTTTCCATTTTTAATCGTTCCTAGCATGTCCGAAATTTTAGTTAAAAAATCTAGTTTTTTTTGAGTCAGCAAAATTGACCATTTTTTCCATTTAAAAAAAACTGGAAATTGACTTTGAAATTTTTTAAATATCAATTATCATTTTTCAAAACTTATTTTAAGAAAATTTAATGTTTATTTTTTTTTAGCTTTTGTGCCAAAAACATGTAATTTGAAAATAAAACAAACTTAGCTTTTTGCCAAAAAAAAAAAACATGTAAACTTTTTTGTCTCTTGACATGTGATGAATGATATCAGGGCAATTCTATGAGGCTAATTTGTTCTACGGAAGGAGAAAAGTGAAAAATAATTTAGATTCCATGAACAAATTATTTACCCCGTTATTTTTAACGAAAACTTTCAGCGGTCTAATTTTTTTTTTTTTTTGTACTTAGCTTTCACCTTTTCGTTTATGATGCTTTATGGGAAATATATTGTAAAGAAATTAAAATAAAACTGTTAAGAGTGACATTAAATTTTATATTTCTTAAGAAAGGTATCTAATTAATTTATAGGTACCTTTCTTATGAAATTTTATCAGAATTGTACATAAAATACTATAATTTTATGTACATTTAGATTCTACTGTTATTTGTATTTGCATTCATTTTATTATTAATTTTGATATTTCATTTATGGAAAAATGTCGTAACTGAGATTAATATAAAAATAAGATCATATAAATTTCATAAGATGATACTGATACTTGTAGGTACCCTTCTCAGTTGAAATTGAAAAATCAAATTAACTTCTCCACACGTGTTTCAAAATAAAAGTAAAGGCCTTAACTCGGAGAACAATGCTTAACTCAAATAACATAACTTAATTATATTCTGGTTGGTCTTCCGTATTTTATAATTACAGCTCGATTATAAGCACAAAATTACATTTCTTAATTACTGGGGATCTTCTGATTAGTCAAAATGATACAATTTACAAGCTAAAAAAGATCTATCTCATAAGGACACTTATCCTGACTTTTAACTAATTTTATAATATTTTAACAACTTAAATGTAAAGTCTATTATAATTAATGAAATAACAAATAATTGTATTAAAAATTCATTTTCATGGAAAAATTTTTTGCTTTCAGAAAATATTGTCCATATTCATAAAAACAACTAAAAGCAAATAAAAGCATTTGAAATTAAATAATATATTTGTTTTATTGAGTTTTGTATGGTACAATTCAGAGCTGATTTTTCAGGTACTGGGTTTCCAATTAAAAACAAAAAAACATGGTTTGCATTCCTCAAAGCCCTGTGCTTTTAATTATTGTAATCACTAAAACCGATGCGATCGAATTTCTAGCGTTTTCATAAAATTAGTTATGGGGGGTAATAAATAAAAAATATTTCTACCATGACTTTCATAAAAAAAAAATATTTATAATAATTTCGATCATCTGTGAATAGTTCCTGAAAGTTTCATTAACATCCGATAATTATTTCTATTTTTGAACGATTTTTCAAATTAATGTGTCATACCAAAAAACGTGCTAAAATTGTCTGTTATTTACTAGTTCCGCTGATACAAATAGAAACAAGGTTTTTTTAATCAAAATTTAGAATTTTCTAAAAAAAAGAAGGAAAATTTTTTAAAATAATTAAAAAAAACTTTGGTCTTTCCTCTTAATAATAACATAAGCATTTAGACAATAAAATTTTGTTTTCAAGGTTGGCGTCTTTTTCATCAAGCTATGCTCTTTTTTTAGCGATTTCGTGGAGGTACCTAAGTTAATATTTTAATTGTCTACAATTTTTTTTTTTTTTTTTTTTGTCTTTGTCTTGATTAGCATTTGCTTTTGGTTTCAGGGCAAAATGGTGAAAGGCATGGGTGGCGCCATGGACTTGGTCTCCAGCAAAAACACGAAAGTTATTGTCACAATGGAACATAATGCAAAGGTAATTCTAAAATAGACAATTTGAAGGCAGGTGTAATTATCATCATCACAAAATGTGGGATTGGCAAGCTTTAAGTTGAGTCTATTACACTCACTTTACACAAATGCACAATCTGTCTCTTAGCTAACTCCCTCCCATCTATGGGTTAAATAGCAAAGTAGGAACCACTCCTGATTGATTACATTTTGAAGGGAGATGGCATTTAAATGAAAAAAAGAAAAAAAATGTTAAAATATTCCATCACTTGTATGATATTAGTAAGATTTCAAACCATGTTTTCACAGTTTAAACGTAGATATCAAGAGAAAAAAAAAGCTTTTTCTATGTTTGTAATTTAAACAATGGTAAAAACATAAATTGTGAGATTTTGTTTTCATGAATAGAAGCAAGTTCCACACTATTTACATTATTCAGACTATTGTCCTCGTCTTTGTTGCTATATTTATTACGTTTCAGCCATTGTACAATCTAGCCTTCTTCAGGTGGTTGGAATGTCGAACTGAACTCTTTATTTCGCTCACTAGGGTAGACTGTTGTAGTTCCATGTGCCATGTTTTAATGGATGTCAGTTATCAAGTATCTCCCGTTAATTCCCCTCTCCAAGTTCTCCACTGCCTTAACTGGGTATTAAACTCACACTCTTTGAAGAAGGCCGGAGCGTACAATGGCCGAAACGTTGTAATAAGTATGGCGACAAAGATGAGGACAATAGTCCGAATAATGTAAATAGTGTACATAATACCTCATCTCAGAAATATAGACAGATACTGAAAGATTGTATAAATATGGCAACAATGATGAGGACAATAGTCCGAATAATGTAAATAGTGTACATAATACCTCATCTCAGAAATATAGACAGATACTGAAGCAAGTTCCAGTTCATAAAAAAGAAGTCTGAATTTTTTACCAGGCTGTCTTTTTTGACTTTATTTTTTTTAATTAAGTTCAACCCCCAAGGTGTTACTGTTACTGGGTGTAAAAGAATTAGAAAATGGAAGCATTACTAAGGGATGAAAACAATAGAAGTGCAATTAGGAAGACAGTAGATAGCGATTGACATTACATTTAAATTTTTGAAGTTTAAAATTGACTGGAAAGCATAGAGCTGGAAGAGAGTTTCAATAGCAAGAAGTGTAAGAAAAATAACTGTTAGCATCAAACTTACAGTTACATCTAGCCACCTCAACTGATCGATGAGACCTTGTCGCTAATCTAGTATGTTAGTTAAATTCATAAAGTCTATGTACCATACAGAAGAGCTCATCCAAAAAATTTCCATGAAAGTATTTATAGAAAATCACAGGGAGGTAACTTTATGGCAGTGGGAAAGTAACTGAAGCCAAGATGCCAGGTCAGCACCAATAATATTGCTGATTCTTTTTTTAATTTTTCTGTGATCTCAAGATATATAGCAGGAGCACTAAACCATAACTGGCAGCAATGCAAGAACAAATGCTAGACTTATAGATATGCAAGATAGACATTTTTTCTCTCCAGAATCTAGCATTAAACCAGCTTTCTTAGCAGCTGATTTAGTAATGGATTCCGTATAGTCTTTCCACTTCATGTCAGCTGAGAATGTTAGCCCAAGAAGGCACACTGAGTTGCTATCCTGGAGGTTAGCATAAGTCATGCTGATGGAAGGTACAAAGAGGTCTCTCAGATGATTAATAGAAAGCAGTTTTGTTTTGGAGACATTAAAATGAATAATTCATTTTTTTTATCTTATTGCAACAGCAGTTAAATATGCAACATGTATTGGGAGTTCAAACTATAAAAACTCAGCAGGATCTGAGATTTGTGGTTAGATGTAACAGAAAAAAAAAGACCGCGGAAAGATTAGTCAAAAATGAATACAAAAAGTACAACTCAGGTTTTGGTTTTTATTGTTAGCTAATGGTGCATGACTGACGTATAGAATTACATACCTAGTTGATGTTTTTATTTAAAGTGCCCATGATGAGACAAAGTGGAAAATTTTTTTTTAACAATGTATTTTGTCAGAGAATCTGCTCTTTTTGGCTTCTTCAGGTTAGAACGAAAGAAAAATAAAACTGCATATGAGGAATAATGCATTGGGATTTTTGATAAGTAGTAATCATAAATTAAATTACATAGCTTAATACTGCCAACATCCGGAACTCAAGAGAGTGCCTGTTTGTTTATTTTAGCTTTATCAGAGATGTTTGGTGTGCTTGGATTCTAAATCAGTCTACTGAAACTAGTGCTTTTTGTACAGTGTGTGTACAGTGTGTACATACATATGCATCCACTCGGGCATGTACATGTTTCTTTTTTTTTCTTATACTTATACATACATGTTCACACACATACATACATACATATATATATATATATATATATATATATTCAGTTGGATGGATAGTAGTTTGTCAACTACAACAAACTTATATATATAAGCATACACACAGACACCTGTACACATGATAGAACCTTTTTTATGTATTGTACATAGAGAGACACACGCACACATACAAAGATGTATTGGGATGGCAAAAGATGCATTCCAAAAGCTAAGCAGTGTATTAAGAGAGAAAAATTTTTCATTAGAAACAAAGAAAAGAGTACTGAGCTGTTACGTGATATCTGTTCTCCTGTATGGCAGTGAATGCTGGACACTTGCCTCAAAGATAAAGAAGAGACTTCAAACAACAGAAATGTAGTTCTACAGAAAGATGCTGAGGATACCATGGCCGGAACATGTGAGCAATGACAAGGTTTTAGAGAAAATGGAAACAAAGAGGAAACTTATGTTTATCAAGAAGAGGTAGTTGAAATTTCTGGGGTGTATAATGAGGAAAGAGGGCTTGGAAAATTTGATACTCACAGGAAAGACAGAGGAAAGCAGCATGTAACATACTTTGACTTGAACAATTAGATGGCAGAATAGGTTTTGGGAGAAATAACAAAAACACAAAACCATAAAGAATTAAGAACCATAAAGGACAGGATGATGTGGAGGACCATGATCTCCTACGTCCTGAAGGGATACAGCACATAAAAGAAGATTCAGTCTCTAGTTTTCCCAAAAAAAAGTATGCTGAGAACTTCTGCACATGTTTAATCTTTATTAGTAGTTCCAAAAGTTGATATTTAGACTCTAGTAAAAATGTTAAAAAAAAAAAAAAAAAAAAATGTAAAAAATTTTTTAAGATTTAAAAAAAAAAATGTTAAACTTTTTCAAAATTAAAAAAATGTGAAACTTTTCTAAAAATTATAAAAAAAAAAAAAAAGTGAAACTTTTTTAAAAATAAAATAAAATTTTAAACAATGATTTCTTTAGAATAGCAATTGTGACCTCAGGAAAGAACAATTAGCTTAGATCACTCTATCTGGCTAAGCTATTCAAGGATATGTGGTTAGTGTGAAGGTTATGAACATCAAAAGTGGAATTGGCAATCGAAGTTCAGATTTCAGCCATGTCAGTTAAATTCACGGTTCTCTCTTAAATAACATAGTAGATTGATTTCTCTAGTTTTGGGTAGCAGCCAGAATCTAGAAGAGGAACAATTCTAAATTCATAACCATTCTACTATCTTACTCAAGAAATCATGACAATTCATGGATAATAATAAAAGAAAAGGGAAGTGGCATGACATTTCAAAAAAAAAAAAAAGTTATACAATCTTTTTACCTCGTACGAAATCTAGTGGGGGGTGGAGATTATTTAAAACTGGATTCTATTTCATTCCTCTTCTCAATTTTTCTGCTTACTCATGACAAAAATTAACTCTTTAAGGCACATTTCTTTGCATTTTCTACTTTTAATTATTCTGTTATCTTTTAAACAGTGTGGGCAAAACAAATAGCAAGACAGTCTATAAACTTCTGTGCTCCTTTAATATATGAAGATAAAGAAAGGTGTACGGCAAACGACTCTATTTCAGAAATGAAATCATATTTAACACAGAGGGCTTTAAAGAGTTAAAACTGGTGTGTGGTAGGCGATTGGAAAATTACTAGCCCATGAAAGACCTGTCAGTTCATTCAAAAAACATCGTCATTTTCCTTTTGTTGTTTTTTTTTTTTTTTTTTTTTTTTTTCTTTCCCTAAGTTTTAATTGCTTTTTTCTTCTCCTTAGGATGGAACACACAAGATTCTTACCGAATGTTCCCTGCCACTTACAGGGAAACGGTGTGTTGATATGATAATAACAGAGAAAGGAGTATTTGAGATTGACCCTGATGAAGGCATGGTACTCACTGAACTTGGTGAGGGATTTAATGTCGAGGATATTGTTGAAACAACTGGTGCTATGTTTAAGGTTTGTTCATTTCTTTCTTTTTGCACAATCTTGGAAAAGGTATGAATTCATTCCCTCCCTATAGCTGTGGGTTAAATAGTAGGACTTGTATCTGGGAAAATCATTGTTCTTCTCAAAAAAACTGTTAATGTAAATAGTAGTGAGCTGGCTGTTCATGAGTTCAATCTACCCAATTTTAATCACAAGGCTTCGGTCAGCCCATGGTATGGTTTTCAGGAACTTCCCAAAGTTTCTGCATGTTATGATCGCTTCCCCAAGTCAATAACATCAAGAAGTCACCTTTCTGACAAATCAACTCTGGTGAGATTTGAACCCGGGTTTCTTGGTTCAAAAGCAAATGTTCTAACCACCTGTGCCCATATATATATATATATATATATATATATATATATATATATCAACTTTTAAATAACCACCAAAGGGTTAAGCCATAAAAAAAAAATCCTGATGAGATTTGAACTCTGGTCTCATGGTTCGAAAGGAAATGTTCTAACAACCTGGCGACATGCCTATATTTTTCAGTTTTAAATAAACACCAAAGAGTAGATAAACCATAAAAAGTAAATCAATCAATGTTCATTTCTCACTCTTCTTTTAAAATTTTTGTATTTTTGTGGGTGGTATGGATTGTAAGGTTGGCATTAAAGTAGTAAGTGATTCACCTCAGATGATGCAACAAAAGTGAAGTCACGTGCATGACAAGTTGGCCTGTGCTGACCTCTAGTTACCAGGTGGAGATATTCATTTTGACACATTAGTTCTCCCCTACCACTATAACCTGCAAACACATAGCCAACTTGGCCGCACCTTAGATCTGCACATATGGAAAAAAGTTGTATGTTATATATATATATATATATATATATATATATATATATTTCGATAAACGTGCAATCAATTTGCAAATTCATGAATTATTCACACAAAAACAAATGCAAAGGTTAATGATTTAATTGGCGAGAAATCCATCGTCGCAAACAATTCAAATAATATATAAAATAATATATATGGATAATAAGTGCGACATTACTGTAATTATTGAACAATATAGTTCATGCCACTTTGACAGAAAATTTACCAGTAAAAAATTCGTTTATCACCATATTTGTACATGAACGCACAACTGTAAAAAATTTAAAATCAAACTCAGCGTTGCTACTGCACGCTCCAAAAACAATAACTCATTTCCAATAGCATTTTCGGATACAACAATACATATATTTTCGTTGTCCTCTTATTACTAAGAGAAAAAACAAGAACAACATCTATTCCATACCTGAAGATGTCTGTAGGAACAGACGAAAGCTTGTAGTAAAAATAAAAACTAATGCGGCAGAAATTTATAGAAACAAGGATCTTTTCATTCATAACGGGTTCGGAGGTTTTTGTTTATTATTTGAATTGTTTGCAACGATGGATTTCTGCCAATTAAATCATTAACTTTTGCATTTGTTTTTGTGTGAATAATTTGAATATATATATATATATATATATATATATATATATATATATATATATATATATATATATATATATATATATAAACACCTGCTCAAGAGGGATGAAAAGATAGTCTGGTGTTTCCTTATAAAAGTCCTCATTCAGAGAAACCTCTAAATCTACTAGCTGATGGTGATAGATGATGTCCAGAGTTAAATAAACAGTAATCCAGTAATCTTATATACAAGAGATTCAGTTGCATCTTTTCATTAATAAATATGACATCACATTTACATTACAACTGAGTAAATTTCTTTTTTTTTGTTTTGTTTTACAAAAAAAGCTATATGATAAAATGTAAGTTACAATTAAGGAATACATATGCTCTCTTCAAACAATAAAATTAACAAATCTTACTCACAAATGCATGGCTTTATTTTACTTTGTTGTCTGAATTTAAAAGTCCAAATGTTTGTTTGTATGTTTCTGATGTTATCTGGACAGTATATCAGCCAACATCTGCAGTGCTCATTGTTTGATATAGCCGAAGATGTCTGTCTGGCAGTAGATTAGTGTTTTTTTTTTTTTTGTTTTTTTTGTTTTTTTTAATTTGTACTATAACTAATACCAAGAAAGAAGTATCTTCATATGAGTGTGACAGGGTGTGTTATGGATGAGACCTGCGAATCAAGTGGGTGGCAGCTAGAAAATAGTTTGGAAACCACTGGTCAAGAATGTATTCAACTATTTTAATTATTTTGAGAACTGGTTGGGCACTGTCGGTTTAACTTGGCAACAAGTTAAAGGGAACATTAAAACGCATTCCTGAATAGCTATTCTTTGGCAGGGTTTACTCAGTTGTCATTGAGATGCTATTTAGCGTATATGGTTGACTGCTGAAATTAACAATGATGGGAACAATAAAGTCACATCTTGTGCATAGCTTTTTTTTTTTTTTATGGCAAAGACATCCCTTATCCATATCTGGCTTTTCCCAAAGTTAAAGTCATTCTTTAACTATCACAGAAAAGATTATACTGAAGTAGCTGGTGACAATCCCAAAAGATGGCTCCAATTTTTGGAAAGACTGCTGGGATTAGTCTGCAAAGTTTCAAGGAGAATAATTTGAACTGGACTAAGACAATTATGGAGGTTTTCTTTTTGTAACGATGTTCACTCTGTGCAAGGCCCAAGAGCCTCTCCAGTTATAAGGTAAGAAGCACAGTTTTATGGGATTAAAAGTTTGATATGCTGCTAAACAAAACCAACCAAACCAAACTGTTTATGGAGATATATGGAGAAGTTAAAGGTTGACATTAGATTTGAACAGGTTCTGATTTTAGTGATCAGAGAAGCAACCTCTTAGGAGTCAATTCCACAAAGCAAAGGTTCATGGGAAGAATTTACATCTCACAAATGGGAGTACAAAGGTAATAGGGGTGATTCACTGAAAGGTACAATTAGTCTTCATGGTCATTGGTATGCAAAGTGGTGTCTACAAGCTGAAATCAATTTCCAATTTAGTTGATTTCATTCTCTTCCACACTATATCTTTGGGACAAAATTATCTCTCCCCCACCACCTCATCTATGACTTAAAAAGTAGGGTTGATTGAGCATTCTAGCATTAGGTAGCCACCAGTATCAGAGAAGGACTACTACAGATTTGAAACTATGAAGAAAGCAACAGGGAATCACTTTACTATCTTTCTCTGGAAAATCATGGCATTTCACATATAATAAAGAAAAGAAACCTGTGGAGAGTCATGATTACCTATGTCCAGAAGAGACATTTAGAAATACCCAAGTACTTTAAATTGGTATCTAATTTAGCTTTGTAGGTGGAAAAAAAAATTAAAAAAAAAAAAACTGAGATTTTGATATTTAAACTTTCTGACTATTTTCCAAAATTCACCTTTTTGGCAAAGGTCAAAGGAGCATATCTTGGGAATCCTTTGATCTAGAGATGTAAAATAGGTACCATTCAATTCATGAAGTGTGCTAAATTTTTTAAAAAAATCTGTCGGTGATAGTCAGATCCTTGTTGATTTCACACAGAATGACTCCTAGCATTTTTTTCAAAAAGCCACCGTTGCACTAGGAAAGACTTTTTGTTAATATCAAATAGTTGGATACTATCCAGTCATTTTTTTTTTTTTTTTTTTTTTTTATTAGTTTGTAAGGTCTATCAGAGGTTTTTGTTCCCTCCTCGTAGTTTACAATATTTTCTTTTTAATTGATATAATAAGAATGAAAATGAAGTTGCACACCTTGTCATGGCTGATTTTAAAAAAAAAAAAAAAAAAGAAATCTCCTCAATCTCAGGTTGTTGATAAAGATCTCTCAGGTATTATGGCATTTAGGCGATGGACATTTAACCGAAAATGTGGTGGCATACTTACATGTATGTCACTCTTTTTATTGTAATGTGCTACATATATTTATTTACTGTATTTTTTTTATAATTTTTTGTTTTACTTTTGTTTTTTGTTTTTATCTATTCTGTATATATTATATTTTACTTCAAATATTACTGTAAGATGATAAGTATTTTGAGAAAAAGCGCATTTTACTACAGCTAAAATCTTAAGCGTTTAAGATAGGAAAGATCTTTCAATTTCGCTTCTAATGATCATTATTTTAAAGGGATGAACTAGCTTTTAACTTACTGTTAAATATGAATTTAAATAATTAAGTGCTACTTTTTACCCAAATAAACTCGAATATTTTTCGGTGAAATGTCTGTTTGGCCAAATGTTTGTTCAGCCAAATGTCTGGCCACAGATCTGTCAATTTGTTTTAGAAAGATGAGTTATTTCTTTAGCTTAGTTTGACCAGGGCACCTAGTGAGGAGCAGACTCGCTACTCGGATGTAATCATCAACCAGACCAGCTTGCTAACCATTAGCCTGTGCAGAAGTGCTCATTTTCCCTTCTAGAGTACTTTAGCATTTAAAAATATAAAAGTTATCAAATGCTTGACTGCATCTTAACTTGAAATGGGATCTCATAAAGGTAAAATTCACCTTTGTCTTGACAAGTTAATTTTTTTTTTTTTTTTTTTTTTTTTTTTTTTTAGGAACTGTTTCATTCAAAATAGCCTAAAAAGAATTTTTTTTTTTTTTTTTTTTTTTTTTTTCACCTCTCTCACTCACTCATATACATGTATACAGAGTGCAGCAAGAGTAACGCCCTTTTCTTTCTTTTCTTTTCTTGACCCTTCGGCCAATGAGGACTCTCTTCTACCCAGCCCTCTGTCCATCTGTACAGGATGATACATAGCTTACAATTTGCCCAAGGGTAGTTTGGAACTACCTAGAACATGATCCGAAACTCTCTGAGCATTCTAACCATGACTCTGCTAATATAAGACTGTATACAGAACTTCCTAACATCCAGCTAAACATCACTTGATCTCAAAAATGTTTTGTTTATTTATCTTCTCTGTTTCTACTTGGTTAATGGATGGCCATTTTGAAGATCTTTTAATTTTAACTTGTAAACTTTAAAAGAATAAATCAATGGTGGTCTTAAAATTAAAAAGAAATATTTTCTGTATACTCTATTTATTAAATTACTCTTGGGGCTTTAGTTTATAGAGTGACCCTTGGTCAGTGTATAGAGTAAATCATTGTTTTGTTTTTTGTTAATGACATTTTTGTTTTTTTTGCAGGTGTCCCCTGAACTGAAAGCAATGCAACAAGTGGAATTATGATGACATTTCTCCAGAGAAAGAAGCAGCAACCTTCCTAAGAACTGTCAAAACATTTCTTTAGAAATCTTCATTTGCTGATAGAGCTTTTTTTTGCTCTCTCTCAGCTTACTGTCTCTACAGTCACACACACGCAAATATTAACACATACATGAGAAGGCATCTATTTCACCTCTGCTTTGTAATATTAGAAAAGTAATTCTTTCTTTGAATATTTTGATGCTACATTTATACATAAATCAATTTTTAAGAAATTCCTACCAAAAGATCTTCACTACATTTTATTCTTATTCCTGATGTTTTATTTAATTTGAACTAATAGATGTGTCTTTGTTAAAAATTTAGTGTACTTTTTTTTTTTTTTTTCTTTGTAAGTATGTCTTCAATTTGCACAAAGGCAAAAAGTGTGTTGTGGGATATACAAGACGGGAAGATTGTCACGTCAGTCTTAAAAGTGCACAAAGACTGAAAATCCTGGCTTTTACCAATGATTGAACACTGATCCATTGGTAGAGGAGAAAAGTATGCAACTACCTCAGCTACTCTGCTAAGCCACTGCAATTGATAAACTCCTTGATTATATTTTTTTTTTTTTTTTTTTTAAGACTTTTAATGAATTTTTCCCCAAATCCTCGATTGTAGGAATTCATATCTGGAAGTCTTACAGATGAAAAATTGTATTAAAATTTGTTTCAACAACAACTGCCCTACTTTTTTTTCTCTCTCCTAGCTTTTCTTATAGAAAAGAAACTTGAGGCTAAAAATTAGAATAATGTGTCAAATGATGCGGTTTATGGATGCCTACTAATGTGTATATTTAGTTCTACTTTATTAACTTGATAAATTGGTTGGTTGTTCTTTCTTTGAAGATCACTATATAAGCTATGACATTAAAAAATAAAAATTATATATATATATAAGAGAAAGAAGAAAATCTTTTATGGCAACATATTTCATTGTTTGTGAAACTTTATTAAGGCAAGTGTAGAAATTTATATATTACATATCATTATACCAAACAAATAAAATCACTAACAATATTAACAACTCGCTTTTGTTTAATAGTGAACAATTCTGTCACTTAACATCCTCCATAGTTTATCTTCCTTACAGAGTAAGTTTTTAGATTATTTTAGAGCATTCACTAATTCAGAATTTTAAAATTCATTTTTTCTTTTACAATTCTCCTGTCTTTTATCCATATTGTCTTCACACACACACACACACACACACATATATATATATATATATATATATATATATATAATCCATTGGTGCATAATCCAAGTGGATCCTAGTAATATTAAAAAACTGATCCACACAAAAAAGAGCTCCAAGTATTTATTATAAAAGAACATATAAATTACACAACAAAATCCAAAATTACATCATATGGAGGATTGGGTATAGTTCTATTTAAATGAACAAGAATTACGTTAGTCTTATTCAACCCCAGTGTACAGACTGTGTTTGTGTTGAAATTAGAAATTTAATATTTAACTTTGACAGCAGTCAAAAATTGATACAGAATTAATCCATTTCGATGTTTCATTCGGATGAAATGCCTGAGACGATGGTAAGTTTTAGTTTCAGTTTAACACCTCATTCTTCATATAACCTCAATTTAATGTCATAAGGTTAATATTCAGGTTAATTTTATGAAATCTCTTCCCTTTAAGGTTAATAACTTCAACCCTGCCTTTACCACCATCTCGGCATTTGTTTGCCCTTGGCGACATTTTATTTATTTATTTTTTTGTCTGACTGAAACATTGAAATGGATAAATTCTGTCAGTTTTTTTTTTTTTTTTTTTTTTTTGACTGCTACCAAAATTAAATTTGGGATTTCTAATTCCGACATGAACACAGTCTGTATACCGGGGTCGAATAAGACTAATGTACTTCTCGTTGCTTGAAATAGATCTATACCTTTTGATTTTATTATGTTATTTTTATTTATATATATATATTTTTCTTCATAGACATAGTAAATAGTTGTTTGAAGAATGTATTCAGCTGGAAAAAAAGACGTGAATAGTTGACAAATTCTCAAATGCAAAAAAAAAAAATAAAAACGTAGAAAAAAAAAAAAAAAAAACTAGTAAGTACAGCAATATTTCCCTTGACTAGAAATCTTTCTTTGTCCCTTGGCAACATTTTATTTGTTTATTTTTCATGCCATCTGAGTTATGAACTTAACATTCCTCCCTACTTTTGCTAAATGCACATTTTTGGTTTGTTTTACTGAGGAAACTGCATGCAATTTATCCATTTCCTTAATTGCCTCCTGCTTATCCACCTACCTGACCTAAAAAAAAAAAAAAAAAAAAAAAAGAGAGAAAACATAGAAGTTGCATCATAGAGATGCTTATCTTAAGGCTGCCAATGCAAGGTCAAAGTTTAAACACTATTGAGAAAATATATAACTACTGCTACCATCAGAAAATGACTGCCATATTTAAATAATTTTTCAGTTACATTGATTGTATTTTCTGCATATGTAATCTTAGATTTTGTCTATGAAATTCTATTACTGAGATTTTGTTACAGTAACACATTTTGTGCAATATGCCCTGTTATCATAACAACGGAATAACTCATTAACAACTTTGGAATATCAAGCTGATAAATATATAGAATCCAATTGTTTCATAGAATGAATTGCAAATGAAAAAATATAAGAGGAACTATACTGGAGTTAACTGTTAAATTTTTTTACCTTTTATAAAAGTATTTAAGAAATAAAAATGTAATTTTTTTTTTTTTTTTTTTTTGCTTCATAAATATTTAATATTACTTTTATAAAAAAAACAAACAAAAAAAACATACAAAAGTCAAATATTTATTATCAGGGTAAGCAAAAATGCAGACCCTTAGTTATGGCTGTTAAATTACAAATTGACCTGTAAAGTGCTTAGTGTAATTTTAACAAGTGATGCCCTAACAAAGATCTCACTATAAGGTGCCATTTTTGCTCTGCTACAGTTACAAAAAAACAGATCCACAGCTGGCAGTCACAGTATTATAGGTAACCTAAAACATCCTAAAATACAAAAAGTGAATGATCATGCCAAGGTGCTCATGGATTCAACGGTGTATTTCCTATCGATATCAGGTGTGAGACGATTCTCTGTGGTTAAAAGCCTATTAAGAAAAAATATTGTCCCTCCCCACACCCAAACATATATTCCTTCTGTTGCTTCAATAACAAATCTTTTGTTCTTTCTAATCTGTGAAGTCAAAACTAAAATATTCTTAAAAATCAAAACTTAACTTATAACAAAACAAAGGTTAAACACTTTATATGGAATAAATGGGATTTTAAACATTTAGTTTGGTTGACTTTGATGTTGTTTTTTTTTCTCTTGCTTTTTTTTTCTTTCTCTTTTCAACTTCTTTTGCCTGATTGATAGATATATATATATATATATATATGTACACACACACATAGGGTGTCACCAAAAATTTGACACAATTTTAAAAGCACTTATCTTAAACTACTCGATATGTGCACTGCCTGTGACACAGAACACATCAAGTCGGTCATTAAGCTCTTGCCAAACATGTTGATGATGGTCTACCAGATATTTTTTTAAGCTCTGCATTATCAGCCTTTCTCTTTAAATTTTTGGTACCAAATCCAAATTTTCTTGTCAGTTTTTCAAATTTTGAATTGAAGGCACACTTCAGTCTTGGGTGACTTGGTGGGAGAATATTACAAGATGCAAAATGACTTCTCTTTGGGAGTGAACGGCATGGCTCAACCTCAAAGCAAAATTAAAACATTAAATATACAATCTTGATCTGTATCTATACATTCTGTGAAAAATTGAGGTTATTTCAACAAGAATTTCCAAAATTATTGACCTGCAAAATGATTTTAGACACTGTGTGTGTGTGTGTATGTATGTATATATATATATATATATATACACACACACACACACACAGACAATGTGTGACCCTGGGTTTCATGCCTTTTGTGATCATCAGACAAACTGATTAATTATCTCAACATTGCCTCCAATATTCTAATTATTATTTCAGTTTTATTATTAATTTAATATTGTAATTATATCTTTCTTACCATTTATTCCTACTTAACTCAACATTGCAACCATTATTTCGTTCCCACAATTTCACCACCACAATTAGCATTGCTGCATTAGTCTACAATATACTCCCCACCCTACCAACAAAAGTAATACCAGCACATAAATACAAACAAGTATTAGAAATTCTATCATTTACATCAGTGCAATTGCCCAAAACATGCAAATAACCAGACTTAAAAAACAGCATTAATAAATTTAAAAATAACAAATTTATCTACCAGTCTTACACAGACCCCATCTTAAGTAATGTAGAAAAAAAAACCTAGACAGATAGGTTTGGGAACATATGTGCATACATGTGTGTGTGAGAAAATATTATTTCATGAACAAAATAGATGAAAGATCTACAAGTTGACACTGCCACATGGAAAAATAATTCACTACACAATTCCAACATTGAATACATCAACCAATTGTGTACATATGCACACAACAATGCATGGATGTGCATATACACCCAGTCCCATGCTGAACATATCTGTTCATATATGTTTGTATGAGCGGCAGTGTGTAAATGTGTGTCTCTGTATGTCTGCATATGTACGACTGGCATTCCACTATCATAAAACACTGATATACGCAACCATAAATAAATCCAAAATTTCAAAATTCATCAGGCTGTGTGATGATGACAAAGGGAGTGAAACCCTGGGGGTCACAAACTCACATCAACGACATTAAATACTTAGCTCTATTGCTGATACTGAGCGCTTTCCAATAAGTAACACACAAATATATATATATATAAACTGCCGTAACATTTGTTTTTTGACGACTTTATAAAGGGTTATCTATTTTTGTAGGGTATTCAAACTATTTATTAGGACTATGGATTATAAAAATTATATTATTGTATGCTTGTTTTTAAGCTAATTATTCAGTGCATAA